CCTTGATTTTATTTTCTTTGAGATCAATGCAGCTATATGCTTGGATTCCTCGAAAAACCCTGTAGGAAAAATCTAAGGAATATGTATGTATAGATATGCTATAAAAACTCCTTTAAACCTTATAGGAAAATAAGGAGAAAATAGCATATATGAGTGTGATTTAAATAAATTACTATGTCATTGGTATCCCATTAAAAACCCCAGTGGGGAAAAATATTGGAGATATGACATATAGATTACTCCCCCAAAAATCATTTCAGGAAAAAATATGAGGAGCAATATAAAGTGATATGTCGCTAAAACTCCTGTAAAAATCCAGTGGGAAAATTAGGAGAAAATATGACGACATATTATTGGTATTGCCTTTTGGATAACTCACATGAAAAACCTTTTCAGGGAAAAACCATGGATGAGTTGTGAGGGCAATATGTGTCTTTGATATTTTCCACAAAAACCTCGGTGGGAAAAATAGGAAATATGACACATGCTTATGTTAATATTGTCTCATTAAAAACTTTAACAAGAAACCTTGTAAGTAAAACTTGTGAAAGAAAATAGTATAATATGATGCTGGTACAGGTCAACATTTAGGAGATGTCTCTCCCTGATTCTGACAAATCTTGAAGTCGCCGCATACCAATTCCATGTATCAATTTTTGAAACACAGAAGTTGGTAAGGACTTAGTAAATAGGTCAGCGAGACTATCACATGACTTGATTTACGAGATGTTTATTTCCCCGCTTTCTTATAATTCATGGGGATAAAACAGTTTAGGAACAATATGCTTACTGATATTGCTCTTTATGTAACATGTTTGCATCTGTGTAACACAAGCAGAATTATCTTCATAGATAATTGTAGGTGATTCAATTAAACCAATACCACATGACTGTTGTATGTGGTTAATCATTCTGCGAAGCCATACACATTTTCATGATGCCTCGTATAGAGCAATAAGTTCAGAATGATTAGTAGAAGTCGCTGTCAGAGTCTGCTTAGAAGACTTCCATGAAATAGCTGTACCTCCATGTAGGAATACAAATCATGTTTGAGATTTTCTGTTATGAGGATCAGATAAGTAATCTGTATCAGTATAACCAATCATACTAGGATCATGATTTTTCTTGAAGAATAAACCAAGATCCTTTGTGCCATTAAGGTATCTGAGGATACACTTCGCTCCTGTCCAACGACGGCGAGTTGGGTCCGCACTATACCTAGCCAGTAAGTTCAATGCAAATGCGATATCAGGCCTGGTGCAATTTTCAAGATACATAAGTGCGCCAATGACACTTAGATATGGGATTTCTAGTCCCAACACCTTTTCCCCAATATCCCATGGTCTAAATGGATCTTTTCCTATTTCTAAGGAACGAACAACCATCGAAGTTTTATTAGGGTATGATTTATCCATATTGAATTTCTCTAATATTTTCTGGATATAGGCTGTTTGATGCACTAAAATCCCTGAAGGACGGTGCTCAAGTTGTAAGCCTAGGCAATACTTAGTCTTACCCAAATCCTTCATCTCTAATTCCGTCTTTAGATGTTTTCGTGCTTCTTCTATATCCTTTGGGCTGCCAATGATATTTAAATCATCAACATACATGGATATAATACAAAATCCCGTTCGAGATTTCTTAATGAAAACACATGGGCAATCATCATTGTTAGTGTATCCTTTCTTTAGAAGGAATTCACTCAGTCAGTTGTACCATATTCGTCCCGACTGCTTGAAGCCATATAATGACTTTTGTAGTTTTACACAATACATGTTGCGATTTGCGTTTGGATTTGGAATTTGGATTCTATCGGGAACCTTCATGTATATGTCCGAATCAAGTGACTCATATAGATATGCTGTCACCACATCCATCAACTACATAGATAGATGATTTTGAACTACCAATGATATTAAGTATCGGAAAGTAATTCCACTTATTAGTGGAGAGTAGGTTTCATTGTAATCAATGCCGGGTCTCTGTGTGAACCCTTGTGCTAATAGCCTCACTTTATATCTCACCACCTTATTGTTCTCATTCCGTTTTTGGACAAAAACCCATTTAAAGCCTACAATAAAGACTTTGGAAGGTGTAGGTATTGCAGATGTGAATACCCCTCTTCTAGTGAGCGAGGCTATCTCAGCTTGAATTGCTTCTTTCCATCGAGCTCAGTCCGAGCGCTTTTTGCACTCAGCCATGGTCTTGGGATCTAGATCATTGAAAAAGATTTCTGCAATTGCTGCGGAGAAGTACATGTCGACAACAGTAGTTTTACGATCGTATGATTCTCCAGAATCTATGTAATTGATGGAAATTTCTTTCATCCCATTATTTGACTCAACATTTTCCAAAACTATGGAGTCAGGGCATTCCGATATCCTAGTATCAGAATTTGGATGCATCGTTGATTCGGGTTGTGGATTTGGTCCTGATGTTGGATTTTTATCCACTATTGGGTGTGTACCAACTTGATGTTGGCTTGGATTTACTGATTTGGAGGATTTAGTCCTCGATATCATCGGACGCTTACTTGGAGCATTATCCTTAGGAGTGGCCGTATTTCTCTCCCTCTTCTTTGGAAGTGGGAGTTGAATGGTTTTTATTGGTATCTCCACTCTTTCGGGTGCATTACGAGCAGGATAAGAGGATTTAGTGACACCCTTATAATCAGTAAATGCTTCTGGCAGATTATTTGTAATATGTTGTAAGTTTATGATTTTCTGACCTTGTTGTTCAGTCTCTAGAGTACATGGATCTGAGGGGGGAATGCCTTGGGTATTCCAGATGATTTTCGGCATTCGTTTTGGTACTTGAAGTCTTCCCCTAATGCCGGGAAATGGTCCTCATTAAATATGCAGTCAGCGTATCGGGTCGTGAATAAGTCCCCTGTAAGAGACTCGAGGTATTTGATAATTGATGAAGATTGATATCCCACATAGATACCAAGTTTCCTATATGGGTCCATAGAGGTACGCTTAGACAGTGAGATTGGTACGTATACAGCGCAACCGAATTTTCGTCAGATGGGAAATATTTGGCATATTCCCACGTACTAATTGCAATGGGGAGACTACGTGATATGTAGTTGGTCGCAATTGAATTAAGTCAGCAGCGTGTAAGACCGCATGACCCCAACATAAAGTTGGTAGGTTGCAATTTTGTAATAACGGTCTTGCAATGAGTTTAATTCTCTTAATAAGAGATTCTGCTAAACCATTTTGTGTATGGACATATGGAATAGAGTGCTGAACTTGAATTCCCGAAGCCATACAATAATCATTGAAAGCCTTTAAGAAAAATTCAGCAGCATTGTCCATTCGAATTGATTGAATTTTATGTTCAGGATTATGTGCTCTAAGTCTAATAACTTGAGCAATTATTTTTGCAAATACATGGTTACGTGTGGACAAAAGACACGCATGAGACCATCTAGTAGATGCATCTATTAGAACCATGAAGTACCTGAAGGGTCTAGACGGTGGTTGTATGGGGCCACAAATATCTTCTTGAATACATTCAAGAAATTTTAGTGGCTCATTTTAGATCTTAATGGGCGATGGCCGTACGATCAATTTCCCTGTAGCGTATGAAGTGCACATAAAATCTGAAGATTTAAGGAATTTAGCAGTATTTAACTCATGACCATTAGAATTGCTGATAATTTTTCGCATCATCCCTATACCAGGATGGCCAAGGCGTTCATGCCTAGTTTTGAATGCGTCAACATTCTAAAAAATTACCTTGTACGCAACATGCGGTACGGGTTTGATGTATGTGTAGTACAATCCGGACGAAAAAGAGGAAATTTTCTCAACAATTCATTTGTCATGTCCGCTATTTTTAGTAACAAGGAGAATTTCCTCATTATTGTCATCGCGGGTTTCTATATGAAAACCATTTTGACGGATATCTCTATAACTTAACAAGGTACGCTTTTAATCGGGATATAATAATGCATCCTCAATTGTAATTTGGGTACCCATGGGGAGTACAATAGTGGTACGACCAGAGTCAACTATTGTAGCATCGCGCCCCGCGATTATCAAAACATTTTCTTGTCTTTTTGTAAGAGTTTGGAAATACTTTGTTTCTCTGAGTATAGAATTAGTGGTACCACTGTCCACTAGGCATAATTCCTCCTCCATCAGATTGACCCCCATAAAAATGATGGTGGTGCAGAGGCATACGTGCCTCTGTTGTTCTCCTGTTTCTGAGAGCAACGTGTCTGATAACGTATTGTAAAGTAAATGGAATAAACAAAGATTTGGGAATAACTATGTGTTTCACTGATATCATAGAATATATACATGTGAAGGGAAAGGACACAACCGATGGAAAGACGCCTGTTGGTGTACTGGCTTCATTTCACAACACCCGCTTCACTTTACACACACCAAACGCGTCATTTGCAGATGCGCGGCTACCATATAGCCTACGTACATGTAACACCATGTGAGCAGCATCTCAACAAACCCACGGCAATAGATTCTTGTCCCTGGTAAGGCGTAAACACGTCAACACGGATAGGAATCAATCAATTACATTGACTTCTCACCATCGGAAATATACCTGCCATGTGCAGGTTAGCGATTTCTATGGTGATCTGGGTACTAAAAAAAGAAAGGAAATTGCAGGTTTCAAGGCATTGCTGGAACCCTACAACAAAAACAGGAACATAATATGAACTGGAAACCACTGAATCTCCAAACAGGCTCCATGGTAAGGCAGGTAGTACTGACAGCAAGCCATCCTTGTTACAAGCACCATCCATGGCTCAACCAAAAAAAGAGAAGAGAAAATTACAATATAATATACTATACGACCAAGCTCCAGGTAACTGACCGACCACTGAGATTGTACTTACTTAGCCCATAATCACACCCTGCATTTGCACATTCTTTCAACCCTAACAACCCACAGAAACCAAATCAAAAGTCAAGGCATCTTTTTTTCTCTCTTTCTCCGCACCAGAGGATCGCCAGAACCAATCCCTCTAGCTAGACTGGTATCACATCCAGGTCAGATGTGTCTTCGCATCTCAGGACCAGGCCCTCGAGGCTGGCCGGGAGGATGCACTTGGCCCATTGGCAGCCAGTGGAGATGGGTTCAGCTGGAGGAACGATCATCAGCACGTTCTCATTCCTTTGAACAACACCCATCACACTCACAGTGCTGCCCTCCTTGATATATCTGCAGCCCCAATGGCCGTGTCAAATGGAATTCATAGTAATCACAAAATAAGCTGTGCCTAGGAGAAAGCAAATGAAGGAAGAAAGAGTACCCTTCTTTAAGGCGCATAATCCGATCATCACTCGAGAGATTCCTTCCACGGAGCCACCTCAGGAATTCAGGCGACATGTCCTTGTTGTCTGGGTTTATGTCAATAACAACAGATTCGTCCACATATGGGGTTACACGTGCACCAGATCCTGTCCTCACTAATGCTCGCAGTCCAGACTGGAAATCAGAGATGTAGAAGTCCACTGCATGTCGCTGCCAATATTGCACAGAAAGAAAACAAACGTGAGAAATGATTAAGGTGAAAAGAGCTGCATTGCAAGAGTCAGGCATTCTTCCATGACATGCTTGTATTTCAACCAAACTCACCTCCATTGACCTGAGACCCCAAGTAAATCGGCGATGCGTAGTGTTAGCAGCTTTCGAATCCCAACCCCTATACTCATACAAGCAAGTTGAAGTGTAAACACATCGCGGCACCCGTTGGAATGAGGACTCAAGGGGCAGATTTCCACATGTAACAACCTGCAAAGTTCAGTATACTAGGTGAGGACTAGCTGTTGTTAATGATACACAAAAATGCTGGTGCTTAAAGCCAATGTCTTTAACTATAAGTAGAAAAATCACTGCATGGGAAAACTCATATCATGAAGCTACATCATTTACTAGTCCATGTACGGGGAGCAATATTTAGGTATAAATAAGGTTATTTTCTTACTGACAGCCATAAAACCTGCATCAGTGAAGTAAATTTTCTGTGTTCTCTGCATCCAAATTATCACAACAACAACAACAACATATTTCAGTCCCAAGCAAGTTGGGGTAGGCTAGAGTTGAAACCCAAGTCACGGTTCAGGCACTTCAATAGCTGCTTTCCAAGTACTTCTATTCAAACATAGATCTCTAGGTATATCCCAAACTTTCAAATATCTTTTTATTGCCTCCCTTCATGTCAACTTCGGTCTTCCTCTACCTCTCCTCATATTATTAGCTTGGCTTAGGATTCCACAATGCACTGGTGCCTCTGGAGGTCTCCTTTGGACATGGCCAAACCACCTCAACCGATGTTGGACAAGCTTTTCTTCAATTGGTGCTAGCTCTAGGCGATCACGTATATCATCGTTCCGAACTCGGTCCATCCTTGTGTGACCGCAAATCCATCGCAACATACACATTTCTGCAACACTCAGTTGTTGAACATGTCGAATCTTTGTAGGCCAACATTCTGCTCCATACAACATAGCCGGTCTAATCGCCGTTCTATAGAACTTGCCTTTTAGCTTTTGTGGTACCCTCTTGTCACAGAGAATGCCAGAAGCTTGTCGCCACTTGATCCACCCTGCTTTGATTCTATGGCTAACGTCTGCATCAATATCTCAATCCCTCTATAACATCGATCCCAGATACCGAAAGGTATCCTTCTTAGGCACTACTTGACCTTCTAAACTCAAATCTCCCTCCTCCTGTACAACTCCGCCAAAAGTCGCATCTCATGCATTCGGTTTTAGTTCTGCTCAATTTAAATCCTTTAGACTCAAGGGTCTGCCACCATAACTCTAGTTTCCTATTTACTCCCGCCTGGCTTTCGTCCACCAACACTACATCATCAACGAACAACATACACCAAGGGATATCCCCTTGTATGTTCCTGGTAACCTCAAAATTATCTTTTTTAAAAAATGAAACCTACCTGAAGTGTAATACCTGTACAGTGTACATAATTTACCTTATACCTATATCAAAATACTTAGTGTCGAAAAAGGCAGTGAAATTACATCAAAATATAGTTAGCAGGCAGTTTAGAAGCATGGTGCAACAGAACCAGCCAGAAATGCAAATGCAAAAAGATTACCAGACTCATCAGATTATGTATAATTTATTTGTGCAATGCTACCTAGAAACAGTTTACTTTGAGGATAAATTCTAACATAAGCATACAAACATAAGATAACAGCAGAAGTGCATAGAAAACACTAGAGGATTAATACAAAGAATAACTGAATAACATTAGTACATTACAACAAAGAGATCAGTCACATACCCCAGTAACCTTCACATACTCTCCATCTTTTGCAGTTCTAAGGTCTGCATCAGGATAGCGACTGATAAACCCGATCACACCTTTTGTTCCCCAGCAGATGTTCCAGGTCACCAGTGCAGCAACAAAACCAAATATCACCACCACAACTATAAGCAAGATCGGATTATGAATAGCAGCGAGAATGAAGCCACCAGCTACGAACCCAACCAAAAAGAGCAACGCGACCAGCCAGATTATTGTGGTCGGAATGCTGCCCTTAATCGAGTAACCATCTCCCACATTGAGATTTGTGACAGCTGGGTTGTGTGCAAAAGAGGTGGTACGCATCTTCATTGATACACTAGAATCAAGAGGGACTGATACTTTCCGTTGAGCACCAGATGAATTCAACTGACCAGAGGTGATAGGACCTGATGTGATTAGCCCAGTTGTAGGTAGCACAGGAGGCAGAGGGCCAGAGTTCTGACGGGCCATTGGGGTTACTCCACCAGATTGGGGGCCAGATGACCTCTTTGTTGGTTCTCCATGCTTATTGAGAGGTCCAGAATTAGATTTTGTTCTAGAAGATCCTCCAGTACCAGGAACTGCAGACGAAATAGAACCAGAGTAGTTGGAGCGACCGACAGCATTAGAAACTGGTCCAGAGTTGTTGGCAGCACCACCGAAGGAAGTATTCCTTGAAGGTTGATTACCCAATGGACCAGATTTTCTGTGGAGATCAAACATCTTTCCAAGCTCTCCAGATTTCTTTATGTCCCCACCAGTGTATGGCATAGCCGAGGAGCAAATGACTGGAGCCTTCTCTTTAGGTTGCTCAGGTCGGCCCGAGACATACAAGCCATTGCTTAGCTGGTGGGACGGAAACCGTGAACCCATGCTCTGAAATGACTGTCTAAACCTTTAGATTGATTGTGTTGCTTTTGCGTCAAGTGAGACTGTTAAACTTGTGAAAGCCTTGCATCAGCAACTGAAAGATGAAAACAAGAGAAACTTGATCATATCACTGATCTCGAAAAGAAAAGGGTATGCGCAACAGATTCAGCAGATGACATCCAGATGGAACAGCTTTAAAACAAATAGCACAGAAAAAAGGTTGAGAACAAAAGTATCACCCGGACAAAGATTTGCAAGAATCAAAGCAATCATAGAGGAAGAAGCTTTTCATAGTGTTCTACCATGCAATGCAAGGTGCAAATCAGCTGATTGCACAGCAGAGATGGTTCAATAAGTATAAACTAACTAATCGATGGGCGTTACCAGTTACAATAGTAACGTAAAGTGATGGGCGTTAGCATTAGCATTAGCATTTACATAGTAACGTAAAACTGGCTGGCACGAATACTTACAAAACACGTTCCCACTGATTAGGAAATAGAAACTATATAGAGCAGCTAGACTAAAATGTTACCATGTTTATAACAAAGAGCAAATACTTAGCATTAGCAGAGTAGCGCTTCTGTTTGTGCGCAGGCAAATTGAAGATTCTCATGCTGAAATCCTCTGCATTTAGCTCCGGGTTACGACAAGCTGGATTATCTTAAATAAGCTTTGCTGCTTTGGCTAAATACTGTCTGGCTAAGTTAGGTGGGGTTAACTAGGCTAACAATAGGAAAAGGGGTGTGTGCATGTGTGTTAGCTAAACACAACTGTCAGGGTTACGCACCCGAACTGCAAAAACTTAATTCCATGGAACAAAATATAGCGCAAACACAAGTAGACACAGCAAACACTCATTGAGGTAAACCTGTTGCTTTGGCAGCACCATTTTAGGTTTCAGCAACGTATATAGTGTAACGCGCATCATTGCGATAAAGTAAGACCCATTTCGGACCAAAATAACCTAAAGAGCTAAAGAGTACAGACAAACGCCTCAAAACAGGCAGAATTTGTGGAGGTGGCGCCATAGTGATCCTGACCACAGTCAAAGAACTAAATACCCCATGAAAAAACTGATAGCGATGGTTACATCAGCGTCACAACGTGCATCCCACGTAAGAGCAAACTGTGCCTACCAAATGATATCGACCAGTACGGGCAGCGGATTAAACAACCACCACGCTACCGACACCATCAGATCACGAGTATAGCTTAAAGCTTCGGCAAAGAACTTGACAGGTACATGCCAACATAATTTCAACATGAAGCAATAGCGCCAGCACATGCACAACCTACAGCCCGCAATCAGGGCCCCACCACCTCTCTCAAAAAAAATTGTACAACTCGCATAAAGCCCGATTCCACTATGCTTCAGCATCAACCCGGAGCTAAAAAAAAAATCTACGAGCAAATTAAAAGTAGCACAAATCCTACGCACGAACTGAACAGAGATGAACAATCTCGCCAGCCCCGCCATGAGAGGAATCACACCCCACGCAGACGAAGCAATGGCACCATTCCCAGATCCGAAAACCAGCACCAGATCCAGTCACATAACGAGGGGCGGACCAGTAAAGGAAAATCGAAGTTAGTAGGAAAACACTAGATGCGTACAACACTTATAACTAGATCAGATCCGAATGCAGATAGCTTTAGTTAGGGGATGAGAAGCGGTAGGCGTACCTGTTGGGTGCTCGTCGCCGGCGAAGGGCCCGGAGAAGAGCTGGCGAAGGGCCTGACAACGACCTGGGCACCTGGCGTAGGGCGGCGGCGGCGGCGGCGTCGGTCGCCCCAGTAGTCCTCACTCCTCACAAGAGAGGGAGGGAGAGAGCGCACGCGGGGGGAACGGGAGGCGAGAGAGAGAGAAAGTGAGCGACCGCGTAGGCTAGGGAGACGAGAGAACAAAATGCAGGTCAGGGCCGGAGGGACTTGCTAGCGAGTGGTTAACTACTCGTACCAAGCTAAGGATATTTTTAACACAAAAAATCTATTTTTAAAAAACAAAAACACGTGGTGTACTATAATTTCAGTAAGTAGCTCTTTTGGACAGTTTAATACACTTATATCACGACAAATATAGAATCACGTTACAATAGCGTGATTTGAACGGCCACGCTAAAGGAAGATGCATCTATACACGACATTACCGTAAGAAGTCGAGCCATGATAGCGTGACTAAGTAACGCCAAAGCGGATGACGCATCAGAGTCGCACCTTTTTCTTTGGTGTGACTGAGGCCTGGTTTAAATTGTAGCTAGGAATCAGTATTTGGCACTGAAACATTTTCGTTTGTATTTAATAATTATTGTTCAATCATGACCTAACTAGGCTCAAAAGATTCGTCTCGTAATTTACAATCAAACTGTGTAATTAGTTATTTTTTTATCTACATTTAATACTCCATGCATGTGTCCAAAGATTTTATGTGATGGAGAGAGAGTGAAAAAACTTACAATCTAAACAAAGCCTAAGTCTTATATGAGACGTGATCATAGCTTGTACTTTTTTCATCTTTATATTGGGTCTATTCGCTTGGAGGAATTCTGAAGGAATTTGGATGGTTTGGAAAAATGTTGGAGGAATTTGTGAGAGAAAAACACTATTCCGGATAAAAAAAGAAGCGATCAAGCCGGGTTTAAGGGCACGCGTGAACAGGACCATTTTACAGTTTTCCTATCAAGCCTAATCTCGAGCTTAGGTCTCCAATGTCCCTAGTGCGCAAATAGTGCATAAACTTGGCACGTGGGTGCACTTAGCTAGCTACATCATCTCTCTAAATGTACATATGAGCTCAATAACTTGACTTGTGGGTGCATAATTTCTCATGGTCACGACACGTAGACAAAAAAATGCCATGTTGGCAGCTGATATGGCAAAGATATATTAGGTCTAGCATGCATGAGGGCACAGGAGGCTATGATAATTATTAGATAGTCCATTAGTTCTCAGTTTCTTCATTATTTAATCCTCCTAACTTTTGCACAAATAATAGACAGAGAGGGATTTTGGCGGAGGAAAACGACAAACTATTAGGGCAACCGTGCGGCCGCCAACGAGGCGGCAAAGGATGTGGAAGATGAAGGGAACGAGGTGGCAGAGTACATGAGGACCACATTGATCTCAATTTAGTTCTTGGCGAGATTAGTCTAACACAGACAGCACCAGAGGCTAGCCAACAACATTATATTTAGCTAGATATTTACGCTATGCACATTCTTGTATAGCTTTATTTTCCCCATAACTGTGTTCACAAGCAGCTCTGAAAACTCACATAGATTCGACCAGCAAGATAATTTTATTGCTTCCATAACATAGGGTATGTTTCGTAGCCCGCTCCAGGGCTGGTCTGGCTGAGAGCCAGATGCAGACCCAAATAAGCTAGGATGTGTGGATGCAGTTCAACTTATTTGGTTTCTAGGTTTAACTGAGCCAGGTTAAGCCTTGTCGTTGTTTGGTTTCCTGATTTCCTAGCCTGGGCCGCTAAAACTGAGTGAGGGGGCATCCATGTGGGCTGCACGCTGCCCCGCTGAGCCAGGCTCGGCAGCGACGGTCGAATACTGCGTGCCCCTCGAGCCAGGCCGTGACCACGGCCCAGGTGAAAGGTCCTAATATGGCTAGAGGGGAGAGGTGAATAGCCTATTTAAAAATATACAAGATCACTAGAGCAATTTGATTAGTATGACAAACGACGTAATATAATTTTGCTCTAGCTCTACTTGGGTTGCAAGCCATCTATCCAAACAATTCTAGTTGATATAATCACTAGGCACATACAAGAGCTAAGTTGCTACTCACTAAGAGCTCTCAAACTTGCTACACTAAAGAGCTCCACTAGATGAACTTAAGCTACAAAGCAAGCTCTCAATTCTAGCTACACTAAAGAGCTTGCTACAACTAGTTTGCGGGAATGTAAATGAGTAAGTAATATGATTATACCACCACATAAAGGAGTGAACCAATCACAAGATAAATACCAATTCAATCACCGGAAGAATACCAAAGGGCAAGAGATAACCAATTTTTCTCCCAAGGTTCACGTGCTTGTCGGCACGCTAGTTCCCATTGTGTCAACCAACACTTGGTGGTTCGGCGGCTAAGAGATGTTGCACGAACCTCGTCCACACAATTGGAGACCGCAAGAACCTACCCACAAGTGAGGTAACTCAATGACACGAACAATCCACTAGAGTTACCTTTCGGCTCTTCGTCGGGGAAGGCACAAGACCCCTCACAATCACCGGAGCTGGCCACGAACAATCACCAACTCGTGCCGAAGCTCCTCCGCTGCTCCAAGCTATCTAGGTGGCGGCAACCACCAAGAGAAACAAGAAATCTACAGCCACAACGATCCTCAGGTGCCACTAGATGCAATCACTCAAGCAAATGCACTTGGAATCACTCCCAATCTCACTATGATGATGAATCATTGATAGAGATGAGTGGGAGGTGTTTGCTTAGGTTCACAAGGATGTCAAGTATGTCAAAATGCCAAGAGAGTTGCCTTGGAGCCAGCCAAACACTATTTATAGACGTCCCCAAACGAATAGAGCTGTTAGAGCCAAGGAGGGGTGCCCTGTGTACTGACCAGACGCGCCGGTCGAGTTGACCGGATGCGCCCGCACCAGCGTCCGGTTGCGTGGATCACGCCACGTGTCACCGCTTTGAATACAACGCGTTCGATCTCAACGGTAACTAGACGGTCAGCGCCTTAGTCAAAGTTCGACCGAACATGCTCCTCTATCGTGCGAAGCCGAGTCCGATCGTTTCCAAAGAGGTTCTCGAGCTACATTTCACTAACCGGACGCGTCAGGTCAGAGGCGACCTAACGCGCCCCAGCGTATGGTCCACACGCGCCTCTGATAGCTCGCCCGCGAGGCTAACATCACCGTATGTCAGTACACACCTAACTCAGGGCCTGCACGTCCGATCGCGTGGAACCGTCGCCAGCCAGAAGATGATCGGACGCGTAGGTCAAACCAAGCATGCATCCGGTTGCTGCC